AATCCACACATCGCTCCAGGATTGTGGTGAGGTGAGCAGATTTATGGTGGAGGATGGTTTGCACTGGAATTCAGTGACAGATGCACATGGTGGCCGTTATCTCAAGGAGGGGTCACAGGAGAACACATAAATAATCGGACTTTAATTAATTATTTTTTTGTAATAATAATTTCATTAATTTTTTTGAGTCACATCATTTCTGTTTTTGATATCACTGTTCTACATATATATATTTTATAGGTATCGTGCATTTTTGTATATGTAGTGCAGCATATTTTCATTGATATTATTCATAAACTCATATGTCCATGTTTGTGAGGTCTTATAATTACTTGTAAATATTGCTTATGTTAAATGCAAACCAGTGGGAGATTTTGTCCTGGCTCCAGACATGAAGGGAAATTGAGAAGCAGAAGTAAATGCTTCAATTTATTTATTTTCAGGTACTTATATAGCGCAGTTAATTTATGCATACTGTATATTGTACATTCACATCAGTCCCTAACCCTCAAGGGGTGTACAATCTAAGGTCCCTAACTCACATTCATAAATACACACACTAGGACCAATTTAGACAGGAGCCAATTAACCTTCCAACATGTCTTTGGAGTGTGGGAGGAAACAGGAGTACCCAGAGGAAACCTACACTGGCACAGGAAGAACATGCAAACTCCAGGCAGGAGATGCCGTGGCTGGGATTTGAACCAACAACCCTAGTACTATCAGGTGGAAGTGCTGACCATTTAGCCACTGTGCTGCCCCCAATCACCATAATGCTCCTGGGGATCATAAAAGCTCATTGATGAAGCTCTGACAGTATCACATTTCAGGAACAGGGGATGGAGAGAAAAGAGTTCAGACACACAGAGTTCAGTCTCATGGCCTCTTTCAAATGGGTGACCAAGGAACGGTAAAAACAGGTGGTTGAACTATGGTTATACCACCCCCAATTGCCCACATCAATTCTATCATTACAACCAGGTGGGGCTGTACACATGGCGGAGGTCCTAATGCATTGCTTTGTGGCTGTGGCAATTTTTTTAACTTGACTAGCAGAGTGTGACAGATAGCACCTCCTGTCAAAAATGCCCATTAAAGACAAAGGAAGTGTGCCACAACCACAAGCCAAGCATTTGCGTAGTACAAAATCCTCCTTAGGTAAAAGAACAAAAAAGACATTCAGAGGTGGCAGGATTGCCTCCGGAATGCCTGGCAGCAATGAAAAATCCTCAGTGCAATCACCCTAAAACAGTGCAAACTAATGGAAGAAAACTCTATCTATCAGCGATGTATAACTAATGCCAGTATAACAGTATAAGTGACTCAGTGCTGCGCAGTACTAAATCTTCCGATGATAAATTCTCATGTGCTGTGCAATATCACATAACATCATATAATAAACTGAATTAGGTGGACATGCGTGTATCCTATGTGTTTATGTCCAAACATAGAATATGTGTAGAATGTATGCGTCTATGTCATCACAATATATCTGGAACAATACTCAAGCTAAAACTTATAATAAAGTATGTTCGGTGGACATGCGTGTATCATATGTGTATATGTCAAAACAGAATCGTGCATAAAATATATCCTTTTAACTCACCACTATATATCTGAAACAAGCCACACCCATAACTACAAAACATAAAAAAAAAACATAAACTAGATCTTATAATAAATTATGTTCCATGGACGTGCGTGTACCATATGTGATTATGTCAAAACATAGAATCATGCTTAAAATATGTGCTTTTATCTCATTCCCATATATATCTGAAACAATCCACACCCATAACTTCAAAACATAAAAAAAACATAAATTAGATCTTATAATAAAGTATGCTCAGTGGACATGCGTGTATCATATGTGTATATGTCAAAACATAGAATCATGCATAAAATATATGCATTTAACTCATCACCTTATAGCTGAAACAAGCCACACCCATAACTACAACACATCAATTAATGGTAAACTCCAAGTCTCCATATATTTTCAAAAGAATCCTCTATGTCCAAAAATCCAATTGTGCAAACAATCAAATGTGTCCTACATGTTGTGCTCTTCGTTTCTGAAATATTCTTGACCTGGAGGAAACCATGACTCTTGTGATAGAGGTGACCCCACTACAAGGGACAGGCACATGAGACCTTGTTGTGAAGTCTATCAAAAAGCCGAGAGCGTGTTACTGTCGGTGGATGGGTGTCTACATGTGGTGATCATATAAACAAAGATTTTAGAAATGAAGAGCACAACATGTAGACACCCATCCACCGACAGTAATACGCTCTCGGCTTTTTGATAGACTTCACAACAAGGTCTCATGTGCCTGTCCCTTGTAGTGGGGTCACCTCTATCACAAGGGTCATGGTTTCCTCCAGGTCAAGAATATTTCAGAAACGAAGAGCACAACATGTAGGACACATTTGATTGTTTGCACAATTGGATTTTTGGACATAGAGGAATCTTTTGAAAATGACGTATGCTACTATACCATCCTTTGAAAAGCAATCCATTGTGGATCACTTTTTAGAGGTCCATAAGCACTGCCACCCCTGTGAAAGAGCCCCATGTGAGGATGATTTTTGTTTTTGGAAAGTCACAGAAACCATTGATTAGGGAGACAAAAATTTTGGTGGTGAGGAAATATTTCAGGTTTCAATATTCTCTCTTTAGAAACAAAGTGTAGGTAATGATCAATACTTCAGATGAAACTTTCACTTATTTATACTGAGGAGTGAATGGCTGCCAAGATCTGTGATCATAGGGGGGGGGGGGGGGGACCAATAATAATGCCTTAGGAGTATAGAAATCTGGACCTGCTCAGGGGATGGGGCTGTGACCAGACAGAGAAATGAATACAGGAACAGAAAAATGTGGTCATATACAGAATATTATTCAGACTAAAGCAGACATGTATCACCTCGGGATACACCACTAGGACAACACTCTGATTATGATGTCATCCTAACAGGTGTTCCTCTATATGGTGACATCATTTACCAAAACGACCCGGCACACATTTCCATCGTAGAATATGAGATTGTATAGCAATTATTGAATGACCTATCAGTCCCTTCCATGGACATGGAGAGCTCTGACTTCTCCATACAGATCTGTTTCCTCTGTTACAATATGGGACTTTTCTTGGATTTTTGCCCCCTGGTCATTTCCATTCAGCGCTCAGTTTCTATCAGACAGAATACTGCTACGGAGGGGGAGGGGACGATTGTTTCTTCCAATATGAAGGTTTTAGTGTAATTCTGAGGTGAGAAGCTAGATCATCCGCTTGTCCTGATTGAGTATTCCTATGTTAGGTTAGATTGTAAACTCCATCAGCAAGGCCCTCCTATTCCTTCGGTACTGAAAAATGTATTGTCTCCCTTTCTATTGCAAAGCACTGCGTAAACTGTTGGCGCTATATAAATCCTGAATAATAATAATGTTATTTACATGTAATCTATAGTGTATTTTTAGTGACTGTGTATGGAATTGTAATAAACGTAATAACTGGATATGACATTACTGACCGGTCATTTTTTAATATTCCAGGGTGTTCACATATATTTAATTCTGTCTAATTCTCATACACAACTTCTGAGGTGTAACATCTCCCCTCTCACTTAGGGTCTATTTTTTAAAACAAATGTTATATGAATGTGACAAACATTGGACCATCCTTGACGAATTCTAGATATAATTTATTAATACAGTGACTTCTTATTACTGTAAGCTGTAAGATCTAGTGGCCATAATTGTTTCAGAAAATAAACTGCATTATGGCGACTAGATGGAGCTGACAATCATAGGAAAACACTGTATTAGGAAAAATATGGCCAGAATCTGTCAAGGATGGACCAATGTTTGTCACGTCTGTTCACTGATTTTTTTTTTTCTATAATTAGACCCCTTAGTTTAGATCAGGGGTCTCCAAACTGTGCCCACTGGGAGTAGAAAAAGTCCTGGTGTCAGTGGCAGTAAAACATGCCCCATGACTGGTGGCAGTGGGAGGAATAGTATCACACTATTGGTATCAATAAGAGGAATAATGCTCCATCATTGGTATCAATGGGACGAATTGCGCCCCATCATTGGTATCAGCGGGAGGAATAGTACCCCATCATTGGTATCAGTGGGAGGAATCACGCCCCATCATTGATATCAGTGGGAGGAATAGTGCCCCAGCATTGGTATCAGTGGGAGTAATAGTACCCCATCATTGGTATCAGTGGTAAGATTAGTACCCCGTCATTGGTATCAGCGGTAAGAATAGTGCCCCATCATTGGTATCAGCGATAGGAATAGTGCCCCATCATTGGTATCAGTGGTAAGAGTAGTGCCCCATCATTGGAATCAATGGGAGGAATCGTGCCCCATCATTGGTACCAGCTGTAAGAATAGTGTCCCATCATTGGTATCAGTGGAAGGAATAGTTATCCATTGTTGGTGTCAGAGGCAGGAACTATGCCCCACTGTTGCAGACAGTGAGCTAATAATGCCCCAAGGGCCGGATAAAAATTAAGCAAAAGGCCACATCCGGCCCTTGGGCCACAGTTTGGAGACCACTGGTTTAGGTGACCAGAGATGAGTATAATGTTTTAGTGTGATCAGATGTAGCTGAGTCCCACTGGAGTGTTTCTAGCACAGATCACTGATCTGAGAATTCTCATTTCCATCTCCCCAGTATTTGCATACAAAGTGTGTGGGGGGAACACCTCCCCTGTCACTCTCTCTATATATCTCATTGTACAGGAGACGTCTTCTAGTTTGGATCTGACCCTCCAGAAACATCAAGATGCTTTCTCCCAGTTATCTGCTGGCTGTCATCTGCATTTCTATTCAGGGTGAGAGATGAGGCTCCTTCCATCCTCCTCTGCACATACATCTATACATTGTACAATAAATACACACATCAGGATTGATAGGAAGATATCCAGACATTGATCAATAATCAATATGTCTCTTCCCATCCTCAGGATCCTGTGGAGAGATTGTGATGACTCAGACTCCGGATTCTATCTCTGTGTCCCCGGGACAGACAATCACCATCACATGTACATCCAGTACTGGTATTTATAACAACCTACACTGGTACCAACAGAAGCCCCAACAACCTCCAAAGCTTCTTATAGCAGGTGCCAGGACTCGGCAATCTGGGATCCCGGACAGGTTCAGTGGATCAGGATATGGATCTGAATTCAAATTAACTATTAATGGAGCAACTGAAGATGATGAAGGAAGATATCTCTGTCAGCAGGGTAGGGAGCTCCCTCTCACACAGTGATACAGAGCCGTACAAAAACCTCCTTCCTCTTTTATGAAGAAACACAATCACAGATGTCACACCTGGAACATTCATGTGAATAAATCTAATAAATGAGTTTTTATTGTAAGAGAACCGGTAATCATGATGGGAACTGGAACATTCATTCACACACATTTAACCACTTCCAGACCGGACACTTTTACCCCCTTCCTGACCAGGGCAATTTTCAGCTTTTAGCGCTATCACACTTTGAATGACAATTGCACGGTCATGCAACACTGTACCCAAATTAATTTTACCATTTTTTTGAGATAGATAAAGCTTTATTTTGGTGGTATTTATTCACCACTGGGATTTGTATTTTTTTTTTGCTATGTAAATGAAATGTCCAAAAAATTTGAAAAAAAGTGTTTTTTTATAAAATTTTGCAAATAAATAATATTTCATCATAAATCTTAGCCAAAATTTATTCCGTTATCTTTTTAGTAAAAAAAAAAAAAAAATCCAAATTAGTTTATAAGCAAAAATTATAATTTTTAAACATTTTTTTTTACATGTTTATTTTATTTTTTTATATTATTATTTTTTATTTTTATTTTTTTTTTTTACATACTGTCACCCTAGCAGTACAGTGTCACCATGGTGACACTGTACTACTTGTGAGGGGTGATGAATTTTTTTTTTTTTTTTTTTACACTGATTGCTTTTACACCCATATAGGATATAAAAGCAATCATTTCTCTTTCTCTCTGTCTGCATTCTTGCACTCATTGAAAAGAACTGAGTGAGCTGTGATTGGTCATAGCTTGTCACATGGTACAAGGCTTTTGTGAATAGCCTTGTACCATGTGACCTCTGTGATCATTCACAGATTTCACACATAGTAAGCAATGATGTCAGAAGTGACATCTTGCTTACTACTTTGCATGTGATCACTGATTGGCCAATCAGTGATCACATGATCGGGACCTCGTACAGAGGTCCCGTCCGACGATCGGTGTTTCACTGTGTCCGGAGGACACAGCGGGCACCGGACCGCGGTGCTGCGCACTCCCAGGGAGTGCGCACAAGCAGGGTGCAGGGAGGCCGTTTATAGACGGCCACCCGACCCTGCAGTGCCACCGTCCGGCCGTTTATATACAACGGCCAGTCGGGAAGTGGTTTTAATAAACCTCTAAGTTCATTTTAATTGTTAGAGAGATTATTAATATTCTTGTTAACAATATCAATGATCAGAAATCAGAGAATTGCTCAGAGTGGAGCTCCAATGACTTGTGTCCATCTGTCCGTGATGTCTGTGTGTCTTCCATCTGCACCAGGAACACTGCCAAGATAAATGTCCACTTACCTGCTATAGAGATAATTATTTTGAAGAGATCCAGAGTTGGTTCCATTACTCTCTATGGAAGTTTAGCTTCTATTGTCATCATGGAAAAATAGTCAGCTGGTTGACAAGGAGTCCCCCATTCACACTGTGACTGACGGTCAGGTTAGAAATCCTGATGAGAAACCTTAAAGGATTAGTTTATCTTTAAACCTTTTTCTGCCAGTACTGGTGTAAGTAGCTGGGTAGCCTGGTACCAACAGAAGACCCAACAACCGCCAAAGCGTCTTATCTATGATGCCAGCACTCAGGAATCTGGGATCCCGGACAGGTTCAGTGGTTCCAGATCTGGAGCTAAATTCAAATTAACTATTAATGGAGCAACTGAAGATGATGAAGGAAAATATTAGTTAGCGGGGTTATGATCTCCCTCTCACACAGTGATACAAAGCCGTACAAAAACCTCCTTCCTCTTTTATAGAGAAACCCAATCACAGATGTCACACCGGGAACATTCATTAAATGTGTAACACCATTTTAACCTCTTCTTGACCGCACTATAGCCAAATGACTGCTACTGTCTCGGTTGGCCAGTTCTGGGAGGGCATATGACGTCCTCCCAGAGAGCGCCCCCCAGTGACACGCACCCGGAGTTGTCTGTAATAGCTGTGTCCTTTATGACTTGATAAAAAACCAATCACAGCGGCCTTTTTACCATGTGATCAGCTGTGTCCAATAACACCTGATCGCCATGTAAATACACTTGCTGGTCATTGGCTGCACTTTTTCTCATGCTGTCACAGCATGTCAGGAAAGTACTGCCAATAACCGGCAACTGTGAAAGCAGAAATCTACACTGATAATCAGGGCACTGATTGACCGTGCCGTGGTTATCAGTGCAGCCCCAAACAGTGCCCAGCAGTGGTGCCCATCAGTGCTGCCCATCAGTGCCCAGCAGTGCTGCCCATCACTGCCCAGCAGTCAGTGCTGCCAGTCTGTGCCATCAGTCAGTGCCACCAGTCAGTGCCCTTCAGTGTCGCCTATTAGTGGCCATCAGTGTGCCGCCTATCAGTGCCCATCATTGCCGCCTATCAGTGCAGCCTCAGTAGTGACTCCTCATCAATGTCCAGCAGTGCCATCTCATCAGTGTTGCCAAAATACATTTTCGCCTAAATTTATGGTGACATTTGAGTTTATAGGATTTTTTTTATAACAGAAATGAAAAAAAATATTTTTCAAACTTTTTTGGTCTTTTTCTCGTTTACAGCACAAAAAACAAAAAACGCAGAGGAGATCAAATATCACCAAAAGAAAGCTTTATTTGTGTGAAAAAAAGGACATAAATTTAATTTGAGTACAGCATTGCATGACTGCGCAATTACCAGTTGAAATAGTGCAGAGCCGTAAAGCAAAAAATGGCCTGGTCAGGAAGGGGGTAAATCCTCTGGACGGCAAGTGGTTAAGGCCTTAAATGGCTAGCCATGCAGTGCAGTACTTGGATGCGATGGAGCATTGTCCTGCATAAATATCATGGTCTTCTTGAAAGACGCAGACTTTTTCCTGTACCCCGCTTGCAGAAAGTGTCTTCTAATAAGTGACAGTAAGTTTGAGAGTTGATTTTTAGTCCATCCTCAGCCTGAAAAGGTTCAACTAGCTCACCTTTAATAATACCAGCCCACACCAGTACCCCACCTCCACCTTGCTGGCATCTGAGTCGAAGTGGAGCTCTGTACCCGGTACTGATCCAGCCCACCCATCTGGTCCGTAAAGAGTCTCTCTCATCTCATCAGTCTATAAAACCTTTGAAAAAATCTGTCTTCAGATATTTGTTGCCCCGGTCTTGACGTTTCAACTTCTGTGTCTTGTTCAGTGGTGGTCAGATTTCGGCTTTCCTTTCCTTGGCCATGTCTCTGAGCACTGAACACCTTGTACGTCTCCACAGTCCAGGTAGATTGCAGTTCTGGAATAGGAGAGCACTGGAGGATAATGGGTAACTCCAAGTTTGATTCTTCTCAAATCATTGGCAATTCATTTACGTCCTTTTTTTCTCAAACACGTTTTTTTGCAACCCTGTTAACTATTTGCAACAAAACATTTTATGGTTCTGTAATCACGCCTCAATAGCTTAGAAATTCAAAAAGTGCTGCATCCCTCTGAAAGACTTTTTACTAATTCTCAGAGTCAGTTAAATCTCTTTTTTGGCCCATTTTGCTCGAGGAAGAGAAGCTGCCTCATAATTATGCACACCTTGATATAGCATGTTGATCTCTGTAAGCCACACCCTCCTTCACATCACCTGATATTCCTAAATCCAATAAGCATTCAAGTGTATACAGCTTGGAGCTGGAAAATATGCATAAAAATGATGATTTGGTCAAATCATCATTTTATATAGAATAGCATATAGAAAGAATATTGAAAGAATATAACTAAAAATAAAAGAATAGAATATAATAGCAAAAACAATAGAATAGAATAGAAAATAGACAGAATGGGGTTTATTTACTAAAGCTGGAGAGTCCAAAATCAGACTCCCTTCTGCATAGAAACCAATCAGCTTCTAACCTCAGCTTGTTCAATGAAGCTTTGGCAATGAAACCTGGAAGCTGATTGGTTTCTATGCAGAAGGGAATCTGATTTTGGACTCTCCAGCTTTAGTAAATAAACCCCAATATGACTGTCTTCTGAAATTTAAATATCAAATAGAATACATTTGAAAATAATAGAGTAGAATAGAATTAAAAATAATAGAATAGAAATAAAAGAATAGAATAGAAAAGAATGGAAAAGAGAATAAAAAAAACAATATAATAGAATAAAATAGAAAGAATATAACTGTCTTTCAAAATTTGAATTTCAAAATAGAATAAATTTGAATTTGATTAGACAAGATTAAATAGAAAGGAATAGAATAGAATACAAAATAATAAAATATAGAAAAATACAATAGAATAAAACAATAGACAAGAATAGAATAGAATAAAAAATAAAAAATATAATCGTTTTACGGAATTCAAAGTTCGAAAAGAATAAATTTGAAAAAACAGATTAGAATAGAAAAAAGAATAGAATAGAATAGAACATAATAGAACAGAATAGAAAAAACAAAAATATAGAATAGAATAAAATAGAACCAATTTAACCATCTCCTGAAATTTAAAAAAAAAATAGAATAAATTTAAATTTGAATAGAAGAGATTAGAATAGAAAATAGAATAGAAAAATAAAATAAAAGAATAGAATATAAAAAAATAGGATAGAATAAAACAGAAAGAATATACCCGTCTTCTAAAATTCAAAGTTTGAATAGAATGGATTAGAATAGAATAGAAAAAGAATAGAATAAAAAAAAATAATACAATAAAATAAAATATAACCGTTTTTTTGAAATTTGAATTTTGAAATAGAATAAATTTGAATTTGAATGCTGATTCGATCAAATTGAATCAATACTCTTACTACCTGACCTATCTGCAGTTTTTGATACTGCTGACCATCCAC